GCTGTAAAGTCATTAAAAAGCTCCATGGCATACTAGACTCCAGGAAAGTGGCCTCTTGGCTCTGCCCAATTTTAAAAACTGCTGTCAAGGGCTTTCTATTACGTCCGCACATCAGACAGCGAGTGGTAAGACCTTTATTTGACTTGTTATTGAAACAACTGAGCAAGATGAAAAGAGGTGTGCTGTGATGCGTAACATGGAATCACGTCCCTATTCTACAGAGAGTAAAGAGTAATATGAGTTAAAGGCAGTTAAGTATAATGAACGTGAATTAGAAAATATTAGCTACAGGTATAATGAATAATGTTTGATGGTGGGCACCAAAGTGAACTAAATAAATACACCTTTAAATAATTGGGTCAAAATATATATTTCATTAAAATAGGAAATCAATACATTTACTTATTATGTGTGCTGGGGATATACGATAAATTTTCAATAAAACAAATGTCCATTAAGTGATACATTGTCTTTAGTTTTGCACCCATGGCTTTGCATACAGAACCATTGTCCAGGCTTGGTTCCTCTGAACAGTCCCATGTTCATTGACTTCCTGAGCTACATTGAGTCCTAATAATCAAATACGACAAACTTTTCTTTCCACCCCCCAAAATACATGTTCAAACCACCTTATCAATATCGCAGAGAATTGTCACATGATATCAAATACAGTGTATCAGCTCAGCTGTGCAGAGGCAAACATAATGAAGTAGTTCATTTCAAGTTGTACATTCATGCGCCTCTTCATATTTTTGTCCACCAGAGGGCAGAAAAGCGTTAAAAAGCTTAGAGTAACTAACCCTTCTTCAATACAAGCTTCACTGCTTCGAATACCTTAATTTGGCCACCACTATGCTTAATAATGATGGCAATATTTTGAGCAAACCTTTTAATATTACCTTTTAATAGTGTCCTTTAATGGTTAAACTACAACAAATTCATTAAGACTGTTGTCTTCTTATCTCCAAAAGTTGATTCTGTTCATCTGGACGTAGCATTTTGTTGGAGAAACATTTCGTCACTCATCCAAGTGACTTCTTCAGTCTCAGCTGACTGCAGGTTCTTCGCCATCTTACAATGCTGTGATTGCAGCCATTCCCCAACTCTCTGTGAATGGTACTCATGGCCATTGATCAGTGGTCATGAGAATTTGCATAATTAAGATTGAGGAGCTGACCTCCCAGCCCATTGTTCCTTCACTGGGCTGGTTTCAGTCATTATGCAAATGTGCTGTTTCTAAAATTTGGAGAAACCTGCAGTCAGCTGAGACTGAAGAAGTCACCTGGATGAGTGACAAAACGTTTCTCCCACAAAACGCTACGTCCAGATGAACAGAATCAACTTTTGGAGATATATTTACCTGGATGATTGAGCATCATCAATATGTTTTCTTCTTAATGTGTTTTAATGCTTTGTGTTTTAAATAGTGCTTTATATCCCTAAAATAGTCAGGGATCACTGTCAGCATCTCTGGGTTTTTATTAGAGATTTATTAGCATGTTTTAAAGCTCAGTTTTTAAGAATCTTATGATGTAACTACTGCCAAAAAGCCAGACACAAAAGAGTCAGAAAATAATCACTCTGAGGTCAACAAAGATTTGAATGGGCATGCGAAGCTGAGGATCAGCAGTTCTCATAGCTAGTAATCAAAATCAAATATGTAAGAAAAATTCAA